CGGCACTCTAGACCAGGCTGGTAAGCGCATGCATGCAGTAATCGCCTACCAAGAGCCATGACCGAGATTACCGACAACTTCTGTATTGTTTTTCACTGAGGCCAAAAAGGAACTCAGAATCTTTTGCAACACAATTTTTCAGGCAGCCATAATCAACAGAGCAGAGCTCCCCTGACAAGTTCAAGTCAACGTGCCAGATTTGTTCTTGGCAGCTGAGGTGGAGGATAACAGCCAAGGATGGTCCTGCAGGGCCATCCATCCTCAAGGGTGGCACATGGTTTCCACATCACCACGCCTTGTCATGGTGGCAGAGCAATGGCTCCTATCAACAAGGGATGACGGGAGGGCAGGAGAGCTGGCTCCAGGGTGGAGGTGACCCAGGGACGAGGAGCCCTTCTTTTCCCCGTTGGTTCCCAGTGAAGCCCCTGACCACCAAGATCCCCGGTGAAAAACAGTTTAAAATGTAGTGAATTTCACATTCTAAATACTGCATCAGGCACTTCCACTTGAGTGGCATGTGAAAATGAACTCAAGTTTCATCTCAAAGTAATTTAATTAGTTCAAGAGGTGCTTTAGAAGGAGAGGCTAATCAGGACACTCAATATAAAGAAACTCAAAAGAATACTCAGAACCTTTCCTTTAGTAATTTCCTCCTCTCACCCTTAAAAAAAAAAAAATGTTGGCAGTGCCTTAAAGTCCCTTACCGGCAATTTATTTGTGGCCAATGCTTGGGGCTGAAGCTGAAACAATGCAGAAAGGAGACTGTGGGTATAGGAAGAGTTTCACATCGAGTTCTACAAAACGCCATGCTCTCGCCTTTCAGCCAGAACTATGCACTATGTGGGGGTCCTAGACTCTCCCACACCAGATATTATTACTCTTCCACTAACAATAGCTTCCTTATTCAATACTTACTTTGTACTAGGTACTTTCTCATAGTTTTCACAAATACCCCACAAATTCATTGTTATTGTTATGCTCCTTTTACAGCTTAGGAAACTGAGGTTTAGAGAAATTAATATACCCAAGAGTCACAATGCTGGTTGTCTTGGGTTGAGGTCTCTGAGTTAGGCAACACTGAGTTGAGAACTCAGGGAAAGTGAGTTATTATGAAGCATTTCTAGAAAAAAAGAGCAAAACCCAGAAGGTAAGAAGACTAAATGAGGGTGGGATATCAGGCAAATACCCCTCGCAAGGAGAGAAATGTGGCTACTCCCACAGGGGAATTCTGGAGACAGACAGCGTGGGTCACACTTCAGGACTGTTGCTGTGGGGTGAAGGAAGCTGGGGTGTTTCTACCAGGCACTGGTTAGGGGCTGCCTCTGGGGCAGGTGAATCCCCAGGAACTTCCAGGCTTTCCGAGGGAACTCAAAAGATGGTCCAGCAGCCTGAGGGTCTCTCTGTCTCTGCTGAAAATACTCAAGTGCTGGCACTGGGAGCTGTCCTGGGTGCTGTGTTGTTCTGACCAGATGACCCCGCCTCCAACTCTCAGGTCCAAAGCTCTCCTTCCCTAGCTGCAATTGTACTCAGGGAGTGCCCTTGGCCAGGGGAGAAGTCTAACCTGAGGTTACACGTCCCCTGCAGTAATGGCTGGGGGTCATTGTGGGGACACAGCGCTGGGTCCCTGGCCTGGAGAGTTCTGCTCTGACGGGCTGGCTAGCCCTGCTCCTGCGCTCCCTGCAGTTACACTGGGGGTCATCCTCCCTCTGCTACAGGCCTGGCTCCCAACAGCTCTCCCCGGTGAAACTGCTGCTCACAATTCCTGCCTCAGAGTCTGTTTCCTGAGAAAGCAAACCGGGGGCAGGAGGGAAGTCACCCTAGAAGCCAGTGTAGTCGACAATGGCAAAGGTTGGGGCGGGGAGGGTTGCACTCCCCGCATCAGCTGCCCTGGTGCATGATGGAAGCAGCAATAATTATCCCAAGACACCAAAGGCAAGACGTGGCATATTTTTCATTTTGCTAAATCAAATTTAATTAAGCTCTGCACTCCCCCAACTGGCTGGACATATGTTCAAGCTTAGTCATTTTTGGAGAGCCTGTTCCTAGGATCACACAAAAAGTCATGAAAAGCAGGGCACTGCAGGAGGGGCTGTCGTCTGGCACACCTCACCTCCTGCGTGAATTCACTCCGAGGACTGCGAATGGGAAGGATGCCTTGTCTGCAAGGGTGATGGCAGTGATGATGGTTCAGGGTAGAGAGGGACAAAGGTTACAGGGACAGGGAATGAACAACGCTTCTTATCTTCTGGCCATCCCAGACCCACCAAGGCCTGGGACAAGCCAAGCTCTATAACTGGCCCTCCTCACCTCTTACGTATCAGGGAAGGACAAGCCCTGCTGGTGAAGAGCAGCAAGCGGGACCCTCCGCTCAGTTGCTGACACGTCTCCCTTTGCCTCCCAAAGACACTTTGTCCTCAGAGCCCCCTTATCCCCTGCAGTCTTCCCCCCATGTGCCCCCCACCCACCGCTGCTGGCATGCAACTGGTCAGTTCTCATCTCTACCCTCCCCGGACCCTGGCTCTGCCTCTGTTCCTTCATCCCCAACAGCTCTCTCTTTCCTCCTGGCCAGAAATGTCCTGCAATTCCTTCTCCACTTATTTAAATCCCATCCCATTTCTCTGGCTTTGAAGCAAGTTCCACCCCCCACCCCACCCCCCCAGGAAGCCATTACTGGCTGCCAGTCCACACAGACCCCTCCCTTCTCTGACTGCCAACAACGCTCACAGTCACAGCATACCTTTGGGACCTTTGGGCGAAAGGCATCCACCTGTTGTCATTTTTGTACAGATGTTTCACCTCCCCAAATAGACGGTCAGCCAACGGTAACTAATAAAAAGCCCTCCTGAATCTCACACAGCACAGAACATGGGGACACAGAGGGTATCCTCAATAAAAATAAATCCACTGAGAGTTTACTATATGGAAGTTAAGAGCCAACACTGATTCCTAGTTTCAGCCCACCTTCTCGGAATAGCAATTACAAGTTGTGGGATGGACGGCGTCCATTTCTCTCTCCATATTTACTTCTCAATATTGAGTTATATTTCATCCTGTGAAAGGCAGGCTCTTTCTCCCACTCTCTTTCTATGCATCTCCCCTCCCCACATATCCTTCCTAAGATGAGGTATACTACCTTGCATCAAATGCCCTCATGGCAATGTCTCTATTTACTCTGAGAGGCAGACCCACAGCTGTTAGATATCATGGGCCTCCAACATAAACCCCAAGAGCATGAACCAGGGGTTTGGATGTACCAAGACCCAGAAGGGTTGACGAGAAGGGTACAGGCCTGGCCACAGACAGGAGAATGGGTCTGGCCATGCTCGGAAACAACAGAAACACCTGGAACTAATGGAATGCTTGGCGAGAGACCCCAGAAGGATTAAGACTTGTAAGCATGCTCAGTAGTGGGAGACTGACATGAGAACCATTTGTTGCAACCTGGGAAATGGAACAGAATGAGGATCAAAAAGAATGATGCTTCTGATGTGTCAATATCAATGTGGATTTTGAAAATCAGAGAGGCATGGCTGCAAATCCCGGTTCTGTACTTTCTAGGGGTTACCTTGAGTAAGGCATTTCATTCCTCAGAGTGTCTTACCTTAAGAGCAGGGCAGAAACAGAACCTATCCCAAAGGGTAGTTACGATGATTACAGCTTGAATGGCTAGCTGTCCCCAAAGACCACGCGTGCTCCCTGTCCATAGTGTAGAGCTGTGCTGGGGAGCACTGCTCAGTCAGGGGCCATGTTGTGCAGCCCTCTCTGCATCTAGATGGGATCATGCAATCGAATTCTAACCAGTAGACCGGGCAGAAGCGATATCCACCACCCCTAGGTCTGACACACGGGAACCTCCATGTAATCCTACACACACACACACACACACACACACACACACAGCCTCTTGATGGACAAGATCCAACAAATGGCTTTAGGCTCTACCGACTACTAGACCAGAAAGTGGAAGACATCTGATCTCTCAATCATTTTGGGGTGATCGGTCAATGAAATTCCCATACTGGAAGCACGAATATGTGAGAAGTAAGCCACTGAACTTAGGAAAGCTAACATGTTGTACCTCAAGCACTGAGCACCATGCCTGACACAGATAAGCACACCAAATATGGCTGGTTGCTCTTGTTTTTATTACCCCTAACTCTATACAGCCCTTCGCACGAGCTAGGATGCTTCTAAAGCAGACAGATTAATGATTGTGTTGCCAAGCACTGAAGGTGATGCAAGGTTTTAAGAAATGCATAGACTTCGCTCTTCAGGAATGCATATGCTAGTGGTGCCATTAGACCCATACTATAAGTAATTCTATTGCAAGGCAAATTTATATTACAAGGGAAATTTTATTAAGCGCTTTGACAGAGGCTCAGTGTACTATGAGAAGGATATTAATTTTAGCTGAGGAGCTCCTGGAGGAAGGAAGGTATGAATGGTGCCTTAAGGCACAATTTACACTTTGACAGTCACACATCGGCCTGGGCTTTGGGGACATGGGGGGAGGGGGGATTCTAGATAATGGGCAGCATGAAAGGGTTCCAGCGGAAGTTCCCAAACCACTTCCTCTGTTGTCCTGTGTAAGAAAGGCATGGCAGGAGGGGACAAGCTGTGTCAGGGCTGTGTGCAGGCAGAATGGAAGGTGCTCTGGGAGTGCAGTGGGAATTAGGGCTGACTACATCAACTGGGACGAGGTTGAGAGGGGCCTCAAACGTCAGGCTCAGGAGTCCAGCGCTTGCTTTGTTAGTCACGAAGTACATTAGGGCTCTGACCAGAAATGACCGGAACCCAACTGGCATTAGCTTAAACAAACAGAGGGATTTACAGGCCCTGCTCATGCACTATTAATAGGGTTCTAGCTGGTCTTCAGAAACAAGTGAAACCAGGAGCCTGACCACCACCAAGAGTCACGGGTAGGTAGCATCCCCATCCCTCGCCCCTGTTTATTCTCACAATCCTGTTTTCCATGATTTGAAATTATCTTGTGTACTTACTGACTTGTCCGATCTCCTAGGACACAAGCTTCCCAAGGACACAGATAGTCTGTTTCGTCTACCACAACACTGCAGCTTCTAGGTGGTCTCCTGCACGCCTGGCACACTGCAGGGCTCCCTGACGGACATCTGTTGAAAGAGTAACGTGAATGGATCAGAGACTGTAAGGTGTGCAGGTTAGACAGATATGCATATTTAGTCCCCCTGACTGCTCCAGTTCCCCATATAAATTTGTACATTTGCACTAAGATCTGAATGGCTCAATATCTCTGTGATTAATGTCGCTAACTGGAATGAACTCCTGGTTATTCAAGGCTGAAAGTCAGAAGCGAGACTCCAATGGAATCTCTGTAGAACCACGGGGAGATAGGCCAGCCGGCCTGTGTGGAGATGTTCTAATAATTCTAGAAGACTTCTCTGAAATGTCTGCCGTCTCTGCCTCCAAAACTCATAGACCTTGAACCAAACTCTCTCCCGGATGGGGAGAAAGAGGGCTTTATGTCACAAAGGATCACAGTGACATTTTTTCAGACCTCATCCCTGTTCAGTTGCAAATGAAAGTAACTGTGGGGCTTGCCTAAGAAGTCTTCACCTAGGTATAACCAAGCCACGTTTAAGTTCCTTGGATCTCAGCCAGGTGCTAAATTTATTCCACCTTCTCTCTTTTCTGAGGTCCTGCCAGGTCATTTGGTTTTGCCGAGAAAGAGATGGTTTGAACATGCTGGAGAGTTCCACATCTGTTCGCCCTGGTATCATATGACAAGAGATGATCACAGACCTATTTTGAGTCTTTTTGTCTGAAATAGCCTTCCCTATTTTTACTATCATTTGGCTAAAAACAGCCAAAGTTATTTCAGGATCGAGACAAAGCATCATCATACAATGTTCTGGGTGGGTTGCCTTTTTTTTAGCCACTCCACCTCCACCTATCTTTGACCTATAATATTTTCACCTTGATATGCTGAATACTTTATTCATGTTTTACTCGGAGAAATTAAGCAAGGTACCACAGTGTTCTTTTGTATTTTCTTTCCATTTCTTATAGTCTGATATACATTTTTTTTAGAACGGTTAAGTACCACCAGAAGTCATAACACAGTACAGGTATAGCAGCTATTACATAAAAATATGTCATGCTTTTTGGTCATTTTAAGGAAGCCTACTTGACTTAAACCAGGAAATAAAAAGAGTTAAGTAACAGAGATAAGAACTCTCCCCAATTTTCTTAGCAGACAGAATGGCTTTTCTTGGGAAGGCAGATATCATTTATTTCCATTTTATGCAGTCACTTACTCTAATCACAGATGCTTTCAGAGGAACCCCAAAATACCTTTCACCATGTACTAAAGTGAAATAATGGTAAGATCATTAGTTAGTACAAGCAAATTACTGTGGTTCACCTCACTACTTCTGCTATCAGGTCTAAGCTCTGTCACTATTAGGGACAGGAGTTTGTTCAAATTCATGTCTAAATCTCATCTGATCCCACCTGGGACCAGTGATATTTATTTACTAGCAGTTAATTAGGACAAAATTTCCATCTGTGGCTATGACCAACATGAGGCTCAAATTCACCATTCATCCAAAATCTTTACTGAATAGCAACAAGGTACAAAAATATATGCTATGGGCTGGGGGGCACAGGAAAGATGAATTTGCTGTCCTTAAGGAACTGGCAGTCTACTAGGAAGAAGAGAAGAGAAGGCATTAAAATGCTAAGACAAAAGTGTCTTAGAGGTAAGAAGAGGGAGTGGTCTGGCAAAGAGCAAGAGCTGTGGACACAAACTGGGTTTGACTGTTAATCTCAATGTATCAGACAGGTACTGCTGCACTAGTACTGCATAACAAGCATCCTTAAAAGTTTAACAGCTTCAAGAACAAACATTTTTCTCACTCTGCAGGACACCTGAGCTTTAGCTGACCTAGAATGTGCTCCTTCTAGACTCCTGGACTTGGCTCTAGGCTGCGGGTTGGATTCAGGTCTCCTCCACTCCATATTCTCAACTTCTTGGGCCAGTAACTGCCTGAGACATGTGTCTCTCATTGCGAAAGAAAAGTGCATGACCCAATTTTGGCCATGTGAGACTTATACACTTTACTGATAATGGAGTAAAGTTTTCATTATAGGCAAAACCATTTATGAAGGCTAAATATTCCAAATGCCAAGAATATGAACATGAAAGCAAATAAAACTCTCCCTAGCCCCCTTCTGCCTTCCTTCTTCCCTTCTATTACAACCACTGTGACAATGGCACAATATTTGCAAAACTTTTGTTTGTATTATAAGGTTGATGACCTTGCAGAGATGCATTTTGTTTCTCAGAGCTCCTTAACAAGTTTGGGGGCTAGACACTGCTCTGAAGCCTACTCTGAGTCAGGGTAGAGAACATAAAACCATTCTAAGCAAACTGCATCACAAACTTTGAAATGTTGGGGGCTGGAGTCTAGTGAAAGGAAAAGTATTAAGGGGAAGAACTGACCAAGTATATAGTGCTGGTCTGGGACATTAAAAAGACATACAGCAGAAAACAATGTCACTATGGTGAAGAATAGTTTAAGTTTTCTTGGTAGTAACGAGTGATGTTAAATTTTAAGTTGTCTCTACTATACTTTGCTGTTATTTTTGCCCTCAAATACTACATGCCCACAGTAAAGTCTGCACCACACAACAGCTTCTATAATTGAACTTGGAGGGAATGAAATAATAGAGATTCTGAACAGCATGGAGCAAAGTAGTCAAAGAAGAAGACAGATGTTGCAAGATGCAAAACAGGTCGAAGAGGTGAAAAATTCAGCAGCTGGAAGAAATCACAGTGAGAGGTAAAACACTAGAAATATAAGCCTCCCAAGGAATTCTTAGATTCTAGGCTGCCTCCAAAGTTTCCAGTAATTCTTAGTTCCCCTTTGATTTTTTGGGGGGAACTCCTTTTTCCCCAGCTGGTAGGGCTGCAAACACATGGACCTTCTATTGCTACTCCATGAATGGAGGAGGGACCTAGAACACAAAATGCTCAGTACAGAACCTTCTACCTGCCTGAACACATAAACTGGTCCCAGTTGGGCACTCAAGCTCAATCAAGTCCTAAGGAATAGAGATAGGGGTTACAATAGATACTGGGAGAAAGAGAGGTTGTTTATTTTCTTCAGTTGTTATAAGAACTAAGGGCCTTATAAGGTCAGATCCGTGCTGGCCATCTTTCCTACCATTTAAAGAAAACCTGGGCCCGGCCAAGTGGCTCAGTTGTCTAACAGCGCGAGCTCTGAGCAAAGGGGTCACCAGTTTGATTCCCACATGGGCCAGTGAGCTATGCCCAAGCTGAGCTGCCAACAGATGGCAGGATGGCTCAGCTGGTGAGAGCACATGCTCCTTAAACAAGGTTGCCGGTTCAACTCCTGCATGGGATGGTGGGCTACACTCACCCACAACTAAGACTGAACACAGCACCTTAGGCTGAGCAGCTGCCAGCTGCCTAAGGGAGCTGGATGGTGACTGGACTTGGAGCTGAGCTAACTGTGCCCTCCACAACTAAGACTGAAGGACAACAACTTGGCTGTCCCCCTTCCCCCATTCCCCAACACTGTTTCCCTTCCCCAATTCCCCAATAAAACCTTTAAAAAAAAAAAAAAAGAAAGAAAGAAAAAAAGAAAACCTGCCCGAGAATGAAGTCAATACAATAGGATGCAGAAGAAAGAGACAGACAATAAGAGTCCTGGTGACATTCTTTGAGCCCATGAACCTAATGAGCCATAACTGAAGTCCCATCCACACCTCAGGTCTCCAGACCCAGACTCCAGAAAGGGTCCTGTCACTTACAACAAAAAGAGTTCCTGCCTGTTAACCTCAGTTTACATGCATGCCAATTTACCCAGTCTGCTCTCTAAAGCAGGAGTCAGCAAACATTTTTCTGTAAAGGGCCAGAGAATCAATATTTTAGGCTTTGTGGGCCATAATGTCTCTGTTGCCACTGCTCCCCTCTGCTATTGGAGCACAGAACTAGCCATGGACAGTATGTAAATGAATTAGCAGAGCTGTTCCCATAGAATCCTCTTTACAAAAGCAGGTTGGCAGGACAGATTTTGCTCTTGTGTTGTAGTTTGCTGACCTCTGCTCTACAGAAACCTTAAAGGGTAGATTTCAGAAATGGCCACTGAACCTATGCCTGACGAAATTCCGTAAGGAGAAAACTTTATTGGGGTAGCTCTAAAAGTCATTGACCTGGTGACCTTTGTTTCTTTCTTTTTTCTGCAATGGCTGACAAAATGTTCGGGCCACATAACAGATTATGCAGTGTTTCCTCTTGTCCACTTTGTGTGTGGAGTCAAACATGAAACATCAAGGATTCATAAAACTTAGCTGCTAACTCTAGACTTTCTAGGCCCAAATCCAGCAAAACTTTGAAAATTAGCCGTCTACTCAGTACTGACTAAATAAGTAAAAAACCAAGGCTGTTTCAATCATATTTGTATATTGTGGGTAATGACTGTTGCCACCTGGGAGACTCACCAAGTTTTACTTATTCAATTGATGAGAGGCTTAATGAAAGCTTCCTTTCTAGCCCATTAGTTATTTCACTTTCCTATTTTTTTTATTTCTTAGAAGAGCTTTTCTCCTTGAAATAGGTCTTAGAACTTTGTGCCCCACTGATGAAAGTGGATGAAACATTCACACATGTAACTTTACTCTTTTCTTGTGGAATGCAATCAGAATGGCCATTAGCAACATGTATATGAATAAATTTGAAGGTACCTTTGAGCAACAGTCACAATCAAAGAAAAATTAGGTTTACATGTATCAGCCAGCCACAACCGCAGAAAATTCACACAAGGCTTACTTAGCTCTTCTATCATCTAGCCATCTTGTCTGCTTCCATGAGTACTGGAAGCTCCTGTTTAGGCCACTTATCCCATCGAGTTAAATTTGGCCAAGTCCTAGAGCTCGCTGAGATGGCAGCCACCTCTCTGGGGACCTCAGAATCCTGGAAGATGATACCTGGATCCAACAAAGTCCTGGTTCCAGAAACCCTTATTTGGTCACCCCAAATCATCGATGTTGAGGTTTTTCTGAATTCAGAGTCTCAGACACACAGATTTCTTTTAGACCAGGAAAATTTTACCTGGTGTCTCTCAGA